ATAAAAAAAAATTCTTAGAGAATCATTTGAAGATTTATCATTTGAGAATTAATCGCCGAGAATATATAATTAAAACGACTATATGGTATAGATAATATCCCCATGCAAATCTTTCATATTAGGACCATTTATCTCATCAAATATTTTTGCAAGATTTCAATTTCGATGTTGCTAGCTTAAGTAAAGAAATCGAGGCATATCCCGATCGTATCAAGACCGTCATATGACCAGCACAAACAACCCGACAAGCTTCAAATAATTGATGAAGTCTCCAGTTTATCAAACCTCAAATAACCCAGTCCCCTTGTTTCCCCAAGACAATGCCGGAGGCGCCAGCCTGAGCACAAGTGCTATTCAAAGAGTTCTGCCTCCTATTTCGATTCCTCCAAAGCTCTTGAATACTACGAATACGACAAGTTCAGAAGCCAAATTACTAGTCAGCATATGCGGTGACTGTATGCTTGCCGGGCAGCCCGAGCAAGATATTGAGATTGGAAGGGGAGGAGACCGTTACCAACACGCGGAAATCTTGTCCACCAGTTCTGGCGCAGCGCTGGGGGCGCGAGAAGCACGAGCATCATCAGCCAATTGCTCCACAGACTCAGGGGTCAGCTGTAACCCTGCAAGGTGAGCATATGGATATTTCCCCCAATAGGGGGACCTTATTGGGGGTCACCAGAATAAGGATTATAGTATTTTTGGGTCTATATTAGGGTACCCCTGTTTTGGGAAACTACAATTTCTATAAATGGCATTCCGGGAATCATGCATGCGATATTTGACCTTGTCGTATGCAACCAAGCACAGGATATCCGCACGAACCCAAAAGCCTGGCCTCAATATGTACAAGCCTGACCGAAACCAATGAAAGCGACCCAAGCCGCATACTGATGATATTTATAAATGCAGCATCAGAGAACCACATATCCTTAAGTCGGGGAGGATGCAGTTGAAGCCATACCCCGGATGGAGGGTTAGCGGTACTCCGTAATCGAGCCTTAGTAGCAACAGAAATTCCTTGAGGAGAGATTCAGAAAGCGAATCATTCAGGACCTCCACCACCTGAGGTTAATTAATTAACGTATCTTGAGTAGTCAGGGTAATTTGAGAGGTAGGAAGTAGTTTGGACCAATGAGAAATAACATCCCTTTCCAAATCCAAAATGATGGCATCGTGTCCCGGAATGAGACAACTAATCGCCATTTTGATGGATATATCGCTCCACTCCATGACCTTTTTTAACCATCCGGCTGAAATCTCACGGCCACATTTTATACAACATGTTCCTGAGTCAGTTCCTTCAGAACCCTGCTTTACAAGAACAAGAGAGCACACATGGTAGTTTCCAAGAAGGCTCGAGGCTTACAGCCTTGAAACATCTATCATGCTAGGAGCTCGACCATGTGGTGGGGATTAAAGCTTCTTTCTACTCCAGAATTACGAACGAAGAGGTATACAGAAGAGCTAATTCCCCTGAAAATTTCCTCTACTCTCAGTATAAAGCCACAGTTCAGGTCTTCAAAGAGGCTCCTTCAGCGCCAATGCACTCAGTAGTATTTGCAAGCCCGTTCAAAGACCGTAGTCTATATCAAGGTCGTCGAGAGGCATACAATTTCCATATTAGATTAAAGTACAAACCAAACGCCTCTTCCCGGAATGCTGGAACCACACCGCAACCTCCCCAACAAGACCATACTAGAAGTATATACTGGTGCACCGGAAGCTACGGAAATCGTCTTTCGAGTTGGCGCCAAAGCGCGCACACACAGAGCGCGCAGGGCCGCTCTAACAAAAAACCCCAAACCCCCACTAGTTCCCCTGGCCTCCGTCCCTTCATCAACCAGGATCGCGAGGACGCGGATCAAGAAGTAGCCCAAGGCCCACCCCACTGCGCCGGCCACCAGTAGAGGTAAGTAGATAGCTAACGGAACGAAACGATCTCACGACAACACTATTTAGAATCCTGCGAAGTACACTGCCCGGTTTTGGTACAAGCAGTATGCTTGGTTATCATATAAAATTAATCAGCGTTGACAAATACTAGCATAAATATTAACAATTATGAGTATCATGAATTTTGAGAATTTTAATTTTATTAACTATCAGCTTAGAATTTAAAGATTTAGGGTTTCGGATTTGTTGTTTTATTAGATCCAAGTTTCATAAATAGTATTATGAAAATATTGCTGATATTGATATTAATGATAATACTATTCATATTATTCAGACTTTAAATGAATACTTATAATATCTAATAATATTAATACTATTAATAAATACTACTAATACGAACTATTTAAAAAAATTGATACTATTAATACTATTAATACTATTACTACTATTACTACTATTACTACTAGTACTACTATTACTATTATTACTACTATTACTACGATTGCTACTATTTATACTATTACTACCACTATTAATGCTACGATTAATACTATTATTATACTATTACTATTATTATACAAACTACTAATAACGATTATTCATATTAATACTATTAATACTATTAATACTATTAATACTATTAATACCATGAATACTATTAATACTATTCATACTGTTAATACTACTAATACTATTAATATTATTAATACCATTAATACTATTAATACTATTCATACTATTAATACTGCGTGAGGGTTTGGTATCGATGATACGCTATATGCTCACCTCACCGAGCGTGTTGTTGTAGTTGATGGGTATTGCCAATGTTGAACTCAAATTCGCATTTCAATGTCGCGCAGCGAACCCTTCTTTTCACTCGTCTGCCTTGACGGTACGTCTTTGCAGTCGGGAATGGCTCAATCCTCTACAGTGTCGGAAGCAGATATAATCCTATTACTCACTTATGAGCAATGGCATCATAGGCCTTGTGGCCCAGACTTGAGCCAAATGTTGCGTTTACGCGGAGCTGTTAAAGACATCCTTGCATCATGATCTGCGAAGCAGCCTCATGTGCTAAGGAGTAAAGATGGTGGATTACAGCCTGCAAAACAGCGCTGTTCCGTCCTTGGTATTATACATGTCTCAAAGCTCACAAAGCGATACCTCATGATTGTGAGAGGCATCGAGGTCTGTTCGCAAATACTACTAATACTATTAATACTATTAATACTATTAATACTATTAATACTATTAATACTATTAATACTATTAATACTATTAATATTATTAATATTATTAATACTATTAATACTATTAGTACTATTAATACTATTAATACTATTAATACTATTAATACTATTAATACTATTAATACTATCAATGCTACTTTTAAGTATTAATACTACTATTTACGACTACATACCGCAGCAAACCCTTAGAGGTTCCACGGGGGGCGTTTCAGAGGTCGGACAGTCCCACTCCCCCCATAAATTGTCTCCTGAGATTAATATTAGGTGAGCTAAAGCCTAATTCTGGGAAATTAATTCTCTAATGGCCCAAACACTTGAACTCCGTAAGCCTGCCAACAAACAAGCGCCGAATCGATGGCTTTTACCTGCGGTGACAGGGTGAGGATCCGCCGTTTCAAGTCACAGGCTGGCGCAAATACCCACAGTCTGCACAAAACGTCGGTATGGCTTTGGGCGACACCGTGTTTGATATCTCAGGGCAGTTCTGAGCGTTGCCAAGAAAATGTTCGCAAAACCAGCAGGCTCTTCATTTGGCTGAGTTTGTCTGCAGTGACATGAAGAGCAAGGATACCTTCATAACCAAGACTGCGCAAGCCCAGAACACCCTGTGATTCAATTGAAGCTCTGGCCCGTGCAAGCTAAGCTCACACGCGCGCAGAGCACCAGTGGTTCTTGCTGGATGCTGTATGCAAACGGCATGAGGACATACAAGTCAGAAGTCAACGTCTTTAGCACGTTATCTCCTAAAGCCGTTGGGCAGCTTGTGCTAAGTTTCTTTTGGAGCTTGAAGCTAAGATGTGCCGTGCACATCGTACTTTTGCCTTCACGGCGCTGATCTGCTCAAAGACAGCAGATGTGCAGTACGAACCATAGAAAAGAATTCCGAGTATAGGTCCTTAAACCGCAAACGACAAAGTTTACAGCTCATTCAAGTTCGCAGCATCTGCTGTTCTATTGTGCTACGTGACGCCTTTGCGCGACAACCTCCCAAGTTGATGTCTCAGGGCATTTCTGGGCGTTGCCAAGTCAATGTTCGCAAAACCAGCAGGCTCTTCAAAGGGCTGAGCTTGTCTGCAGTGACATGAAGAGCAAGGATACCTTCATTGCCAAGACTGCGCAAGCCCTAAATACCCTGTGATTCAATTGAAGCTCTGGCCCGCGAAAGCGCTCACACCCGCGCTTTGAGCGCCAGTTCTTGCTGGATGCACATCCGACTGAATTAAAACGGGAGCCCGGCCTGCACAGAAACGGAGTGAAGAACGTGCAGGTCATTTGGTAATGTCTTCGCCATAGGTCCTAAAATTTAGTGCAATCAAACAGCAGACGCGACATCAGCTGTCAAGAATTGGGACTCCAATACAACCCCTAGAATACACTTCCGATAGTAGGTCCCTATATTACAAAGTTTACAGCTCGTTCGAGTTTGTAGCATCTGCTGTTCTACTCTGTTGCTTGACACCTTTGGGCGACGCCCGAGCGTCGCCAAGTCAATGTTCGCATGCGAACAAAAAGGGCGGCCTACGATCTAGACCCAAGAGTAACCTAGGAATCAAAAGGGTGCCTTTTTGCGTCGAAAGGGGCTTGTAAGGGAACCTGAACCCTACAACAAGGGCGAATAAGGGTACTTCAGGTTCCTAGAATACCTCCTACAACTTCAGAAACCACCCGAGGCCCTGGTGTCAAAGAACGAGCTATAGGTTATGTAGGGGATTATATATAGGGGAGCACGATACGGGATATTCAGTCTCTAGCTCCAAAGGCTCAGTTCAAGATGTGGTGCACAAAAAAAACATCCGGGCACAGGTGGTTTTGACTGGCTGGTGCGAGTCCAATCATTGCAGGAGCTTTGATTGCGTGTCATAGTGGAATCAGAAGGCGGTCCACAAGATAGCGCGGCGTAGAGACAAGGTCGTCCGAGCCGTCTAATCGCACCTGGATGCGCTTGTCTGCACTGTCGCTTTCTATGCTGTGCGTCAGCGGTGAATCTGATGTTGCCGCTGCTTCCACGCGATCCTCAGAGACGGTTCCATACTGCCAACCATGTTGTCCTCCAAAGACACGAATGCGGCTGCCTGTCTCGTAAAAGCGGCAAATTCGTCCCAGGTCCACATTGATTATGTCGCCTGAGCGAAGAGTCACCGCATAAGGGTGGACCGTCGTCATGGCAACTGGAGGGATCTCGTCTATGAGGCCGGACTTCCAAGACCATACGCTGCTTGCTCTGCTTCTCCGCCCGTTGGGCGCCTGCTCCTGTACCTGGGGACCCGAACGCCGTTTGTTGTTTTCAGCAGTTTGGCAAAGCGTGCAAACACACACCAAAGGCTCAGATTTTCCAAGATCAGGTTCCAACTGCCGGCAGGGTTCCAGATTCAAGACTCTTATCCTTTCTATAGTCACAAAATTCCTAGAAGCTAACGCGTATGGCCACTATCCAAATCCCAGATGCCGACTGAGAGGTTCCAAAGGGTCTCAAGAAGGGGTTTCCGAAAATAGGGGACCCTAATATAGTACCCTAAATAATAGGATCCTTATTAAAAGGACCC